ACTCTGTGGTGGTCGGGAGAGTTTTCTCCCAGATGAAGATGATGAAGAGCTAAGAGAGACATCAGCTGAGATCCAAGGATCATTGGTGAATGTAAAGACAAGGCCGAAGCCTGCCGCATACTTGAGGGTTGCAGAAGGGTGCTAGCTCACATTCTCATCTTCTCAGAATATCACAGGAAAATATATTAAAATATATTAAAACAGAAAACTGTTTTCTAATTGTATAACTGAGTAACTTTTTACTGTGTCTTTCAAATCAAACCCTGTAACCTTCAAGGCAAATAAATGTAGCCTTGATGAGCATAATAGACTTCAGAAATATTTAAAAAAATCATACCAACCCCAAACCTTTAAACGGTAGTGTATATACAGTATATATATATTTTTTTTAAATAAAGTTTAAACAGATTTGTATAGGCATTTATGTAATTAAAAATGTAGAAACAAAATTTAAAAAAGCTCTATAATGTTTGTTGTTTAACATGGCAGATTTGCATAATGGATTTTGATTGATCTGCAGGCAATCCTTTATACTGCCTACACCTTTATAGTGTCATGTGTATTCTTGTGCACAACTGACCAAGAGCGACATGTCATGACAACTGCTGAGCTAGTCCTGAGCTAATCTAACTTTAAAGCTATTGCTGCCTTGCAAGCACTGGTATTTCCTTCAGGAAATCTCTCTTTCTGTCCCTCAGGAAAGTCAATAAGTGCTACCGTGGCCGCTCCTGCCCCATCATTGTGCACTGCAGGTATTTTTAACACATTGATGCATTTGAGGAATTAAAGATTTTTAATAAATTGAAAGTTAAAGAGTGTAGTTTGCTATGTTTTGGAGACAAGATGCAAGAGATGCTGAGCCTTCTAAACATTTTATTAGGTGTTTTAAAATAAAAACAGTATTCTTGTGTATATGAAGTACTGCATTGATTCTGAATGTACTGCACTGGCACATTAGATGTTTTTTTCAGAGCGTATTGCACACAGTAACAACCTTTCTGTGCAGTGATGGTACAGGCCGGACTGGAACATACATCCTGATCGACATGGTTCTGAACCGCATGGCTAAAGGTCAGCACATGATGGAAACCTGTAAAGCTTGTGAAGTGTTTAGGAAAGTAGGGCATACTGAAAATGATTGTTGTTTTGTTTCCAACTCAGGTGTAAAGGAGATCGATATCGCTGCAACCCTGGAACATATTCGAGACCAGAGGCCAGGAATGTTGCGCACCAAGGTAATGAAGGACACAGCAGCAGAGCTGTGCTCAGTAACACCACAGAGCCCCATATCAAAAATCAAGGCACTATTGTACCTATAAAACACCATAGTATCAGCAGCCTCTCCTATTTCCCTCAGTTGCAGTAACTGCTGTATATCTTTTTCACTGATTCTGATAGTGTTATTAAAAGAGAAATGCTGATCTATGCTTTTTCTCTCCTCAGGATCAGTTTGAGTTTGCACTGACCGCTGTGGCTGAAGAGGTTAATGCTGTTCTCAAAGCTCTACCGCAGTGAAACGAATGCCCATGACTGAGCAGGCACACAAACGCATACATACACACTCACAAATTACATAGCAACTACATGCATGTCTGCATACATGCCTTATGTAGCCACTGAGGTTAGTATTAGGGATGTGCATGAGTAATCAACTAGTCGAGTACTCGTTCTACACCTAACTACTTAAATAATAAACTAATTGCAAATTGATTTTCCTTTTGCTGAAATGAACATTCTTACTAAATCCTTCACTTAAATCATGTTGCAGCTACAGTAAGTGTGTTGGGTTGCACTGTGCTATAGAAAGGTGAGAGACTTAATTGTGCAATATTTTAATCTTTATGGTTCTTGTTAGATTCATGCTTTCCACTAGATAAAGATCCACTTTTATGGTGCCAAGTGCTAAACTACAAGAGTTGCGAGAAACTATTTGTGCAGCCTTTTTTCACAGCAGATTCTGTTGTTAGAAAATTAAAATGTCAACTTATAGCACTTGTATTTCTGAATAATATCAAGTTAAATGTTAAAATACATAAATATCAGTAACAAAACAATAAAATTAGATTTTATTATTTTTAACCCAGTGGGTAATTTGGGTGAGTTTTTATTATTATTTTAAATTTTGATATTTTTTTATTGTTTTATTTTTATTTTTTAAAGAAAGGCATAGTTTCATTTACATTATGAAAAACCATTTTAAACATCTATGTAGGTTTATGTTTATGATTACAACAGAAATCTAACGTGTTACATGTTAACGTGTTAAATAATTTTATTTTAAATATTCAAGTAGGCATAAATGATTCTTGATTTCAGTGTTACAGTACTTGACTTCAAAATTTCTCAGTGCCATCCCTACTCATTTTTGCTGTTTTCCTGCACTTAAATACTCAAAAGTAGGGATGTAACGATTCACTCAACAAAATGAGATTGAAGACATTATACAGTAAATGAAAAGGTGTCGTTTTATTAGGCTATTGATGCACGTTTCTTTGTGAAATTGAAACAAAACTAAATTGAAATGTTAAAACAAACCCCAAATCAAACAAGTAAGTTATACAAATAAAAGACATCTCTTAATATGAACAAACTAAGGCTTTGTCTGTGCTCTTTCCATTTAAAATTAGAGGCAGCCACTGGATTTTAATCATGCTCCAAACAAAGATGCAGCGTACATGCAGCATGAGCCGTTTTTAATCTAAATTAGATTGTATAATTTCGAAATTTGAAGCAAAAAAAGGGTGGTCTGACTTTAGTTTTGTGAAACTATACTACATAAAACATATCTGAACGAAACAGCAGACGAGCTGAATGAGACGCAGATTCACTCTCTGACAGCAGGTGGCGCTTATGAACAGCA